TAATTTCCTACTTGTATATTTCGAAAATCGTAAATGGTGTTAATTCTAGAACAAAAGACAAAAAGATAAAAACCAGAATAGAAGCAATGAACCATGTTAAATTATCCCTAACCTCATGTCAAACCACTATTATTACTATAATCAGATACAAAAGCACGACCAGAAATAAAGAGAATGAAACAAAACAGCTAAACAACAACTGCTACAGTACCAAATAATTTTATTATAGGCCCATAAGAATCTATGAAAATTTTATTATAAATAAAACCAACCAAAAAAGTTCATGAGAGATTAATACCACAAAAACTCCAAACTCAGCCCTCATCTTGAAAACAGTGAAAATGACTAACGGGTATACATAACGGGTATCATGTAAATAACATCTAAGCTAGACCAAGAGAAAATAACACCAGGAAACATAATAAATAAAAATAAACTCAAATAAACCCATAGTAAATAAAAAAATAAAACCCATAATCCACAGTAGCACTGGCTGAAATACCATCTGCATACCATAAAAGTAGTCAACCATGTAAAAACCTTGGCACCAATAGGAACAGCAATAACTATAGTAGCAGCAAAATAAGCACAGGAATTCTTACCTACAGTATATATATGATGAGCCCAAATTGCACAATCAATTAAAGCAATCTTCAAAATAGCATAAACCATACCCAATAACCAAAAACCTCCTACTTACCAGTCAAATATAATCTCCTCTGACTAATAATACTAATAATAAAAATAGGCACAATCATAACCTAAGGTGACCAAAAAACCAAAATAAATGCTGATACGATAAAGGATTACCACCATTACCATCCATCCAATATCACGATTACCATCCACCTACTAGCCAATCGAGCAGAGGCCAATCAAATTCAAAGACCTATCTAAAAGAACATTTAGGATTTAGAATGTTTTCACTCAGTTCTCAATAAATTTTAATTTTAATTGAACAACATAAAAATTCCAATAAAAACTTATTCACAAAAAAAATTCACCAAACAACAAAAACCAAACATTTCCAATATCAACAAATAAAAAAGATCACAAAAAAGCAGGAGCAGAAGAAAAAGATATCCAAAAGGACTATATTTCGGCACCAAAGATGAATGAAAAATAATTTTACAACACCTATAAAAATCCAATTTCAAATTCTATATTCTATTGAGTACTAAAAAAAGAAAAGATTCAAAGCTACAGCTTCAAATATATTGCCCCACAAACTAGAATGCTAAATACCAGCAACACATCTAATAAAATTCTCACAATGTTCAGTAAATTCTCAGTAGACTCAATCATAAAAGGCATAAAACTATGAGGCATAAAATATATGCCCCGCAAATCTTAGTTCACTGATTATAATAAAAAATAATTTTTATGAAAAATACACGTTATACGAAAAATAGCACCTACAACACCATCAACCTAAATTGACATATAAAGCAAAGTCCAGGAATGAATGACAACATCAGAAGCAATTTAAAAACCCAGAAACAGTCTAATCCCTCTAGAAACTACTTTCCGCTTTTATAATTTTTTATAATACTATCTCACTTCCCATATTATAAATTGTTGCAATCGTATAAGCAAGGAAACGATGGCTCGAATGTTGATGAATGCAAGGTAAGAAAATAAGGAACACACCGGTATTTGATAGCGAATTGACATACATAACAACGGTAACAAAATACTAAAATAAAGCAATCCGCATGCAACGAACGTAAATCCTCCATCAATACATCCTCATAAGAAATCATATATGAGTCAAAACCCACCTTATAATCAAAATAATCAGAATATTCACGACTCTAATTCCACTGATGACCAACC